TCTCACACCTCTACAAAAATAACTTAACAGCAATGAAGGTTGTTCTTGATTTTGATCAGAAAAGAAAGGTCATGACTGGATCAAGAAAAGTCCCGAGTGTCTCCATCAAATAGACTTAATGTTAGAAAGGTTTCTGGAAACATCTTACAAATAAACGAAAAGCAATTTTTTTGAGCCAGAGTCTTGCTGTATTGTACAGGTTGGTATTGAGCTCCTGGCTTCTGAAAATCTGTTTTATAAGAAAGACACAACTCTTGCTGTGTAGGTATGTACAAAGAAAAGACATCTCCATGACTTAGGGCCTTGGTGTCGTTATGAGGGAGGAATGTTACTTCCCTTGCAGCTGGCTTCTCTGAGAAACCAGCGTTGTGGGTTTTATCACCACAAGGTAATGTACAGAGTGATCTCAGTTGCCGTGAGTTAGAATCTACTTTCTGAATTGAACTAAGAGAGAAGACACCCCCACATCTATACTGAGTAATTAATCTTCAGGGATTTGCAGTGCAGTGATGCTGAGTGATGTCTAAGTATTTTATTTTGGGTGTGCAGACTGTTGGTCCTGGGTAGAGAGAGGGGGATTCCAGCACTGTGTTCTGCAGTTTGGAAATTAGCAAAACCCCTAAATTTTCCTTTGTAACCCAAACTAATTTAGTGAGCTCCTAGAACAGGAGAATTGCTAGGATTCACCGCAGCCTTCTGGAATCTATCCATTAATTCTTTTGATATTCCAGAAACACTTTGCCCCTAGTAACTGGGTGTCTCAGATCTCTGGGGCATACGACATCTAGGACACCATGATTTCCATCTGCATTACTTCCCAGGATAGAGAAGAACACTGATAGAAGTTTATTCTGCTGCTCCCCCAGCATGACCATGTGCTGTTCTCGTGGTTACAGGGTCACCTTTGCCTCCCCAGTCCGTTGGAGCCAGTACCACAGAGATCTGGTGCATTTATTAGCACGAGAGCTTTTGCCGATTGCCTGTCCATCACTAGGGCTGACCCTTCCAAGTCTCCTGATGCTCCCACCCTGCTCTGTTTCACAGAATTCTTCCCATAGATGGTGAGGAGCCTATACCTTCTCCCCACCATAGAGCCTGCTTGTAGGTTTCCTCATTCATCTTGCAGGAAGAAAATAGCACTATGTTCAAGTCAACATTCTTCTGACTGCCAGTATGATGGACATTTTTTTTTCTCTGTATAGTTGGTAACTTTAGCATGGAGACTCCTGGGCATTCCTGGGACCCCCTCAGTTAAGTGTATATGTGTGTCATGGCAGAGGTTGTCCTCTCTGTGGCAGGATGAGCTGGCTCTCCTGACCTCTCCACCCCATCCCCCTCCTGAAGGGGATCACCATGCAGAAGCACCCAGGGCCCAGAATTAGACATTGGAGGGGCCGGGTTTTCACAGCACCTAGGGCACCAGTGTCTGAGTGCTGTGGTTTTCCTCCTGTGTCTCTACCCGCTTTCTCTTGCTCTGCCCCTCATGAACGGCTGTGAGGTGGGTTCTCAGACATATTCCTGAGCTGTCTCTTAAGCTATGACCCTGAATTGTGAGCACTGGTCTTCAGGGAAGCAGAAATCCGATGTTACCTGTGTGCCTGATGTCGTCATCTGGGGTACACTGCCTTTTAAGGCATCCAAAGGTTTGTAATTTGTAAACTGTTCAAATAAAAAACAAATTGGAAATTAGTGAGAAGAGACTTTCTTAGAAATGTTTATTTCAAGAGGCAAAGAGCCTGTCCATGCACCGATGACAAGTTCACAGCATTCTGTGGGTCAGACCAGAGGGTTTACTTTGTAGGGTGGTATAGACCAGACTGGGAAGAGCCAGCTGTGGGGTGTGGTAGGAATATGAAGCAATCAGGTGGGTGTTTATGAGGCCAGTGTGTTCTCTGGAGTGGCTGTGGTTGGCTTGGGTCCAAAGGGCCTGGGGAGGAGAGAAACTGACCCAAGTTTGCTATGCGTGGTCTGTAGTGGCCAATGAGGAAAGATGGGCAGTGTGGCTGGTCACTAGGGAGTACAGAGTGGGAACTGTAGGCTTTCTGTAGCTGGGGCATTGTGAGTCTTTGCTCAAGTACCTGATACTTGTGGGATTTCTTACCTGATGTAGTTTCCCGGAGCACAACACTTAGGTAGGATCAGCACTGTCACAGCCTTGTATATAGTGGGTGTGTCCCAGGGTTGACCTGCTGGCCTAACTTCTATTCATTCAGCAGGCAGGCCCTGATATACCTTGCCTGGGCCTCTCTGCATGGGGCCCAGTCCCTGCTCTTAGGTGGCTATGATGAGCTGGGCAGGGATGGAGGAAGGTGCCAGGCACCCAGGGCTTCAGAGGCATCGCAGCAGAGCAGGATGGGTTTCAGAAGAGAGGCATGGGACCTCCCAAGATGAGCTCATCCCCACAGAAGAATGGGAGTCCTGGGGTTGTTAGTCAGAGTGTGATCAGTTTCTGTCCGGCACCTGTGGTGCTTTCTCACAGTTTTCATCAGAGTCTCACTCCCTAAAATCACATTCTGCTGTAGTTTCTTCTTGTTTGGGGGGCTCATAGACTTTGCAGTGTGGTACATGCAGGAGCAAGAGCCCTGACTGAGCCTTTCTGCACCCCAGTTCCGTGATGCTGCCCCTTGTGACTTCATGCTGTTCCTGTAATAGTGGGCAGCCTCCTGACCCTCAGCAACATCTTCTGGAACCTGTTAGAAATGCATGTTCCTGGGCCTGCCTCGCAGCTCTGCAACACCAGTGCTCCTCTTGGTGTCCAGAAATATGGTTTTCCTTCATCTTGTTGGCTTCTGCTGCAGGTTATCTGTATGACAATCTTTGACAGAAACCTTTGGTGGATACAGGAAGTGGCTGTGTCTCAGAATCTGAGAGTCAGTGGATGAGAGGTTGGAGACTGCTGGGAAAGAGAAGAGCAAAGCTCACAGAATGTATGTCTGTGTGTGAGTGTGTGCATGTGCACACATAGATGTTTATGAACATTCATGTGTGTATATATAAATGGTGTATGTGTACGTGTGTGGGCACATGTCTGTGCAGCGGTATGTGCATGGATATGTGTCTGGATGTGTGTGTATGTGTGGGGATTCTGTGTGTGTGTATATGTATATGTACACATGAGTGTAGATGTATAGGCATGTGTGGTGTGTGGCACATTGGACACAGAAGTGAAGCCATGTGACCAGCTGTGAGTAGGCCTTCCTCTGTGTGTGTCACCTTGAATGGGCAGTTGGGGTTCCCCAAAAGGGGAAGTGGGGCTGCTAATTGGGACCATGGCACATGTCGGCAGTGTGTGCGGAGTGAAAACATGAGCAGCACAGAGTGTATAGATGTAGTGACCATGTTGCCTTCTGACCCCAGCCCACACTCCACAGTGTTAGTTTGCCTCTTCAGTGGCTCCCCCAGCCCCGAGACGTCTGCCATTTACACAGGCATGTGGCAATGTACACAGCATCGTAGTCCCATCCTGGCCAGCCATCTACAGCCCGCCTTTGCCTTCTGCCAATCCATGCAGGAGACCTCCCTCTTTGTGACAGCTGCTTAGATCTGGGCTTTTGGACAGAACATGTATCTCCACTTTCTGATCAGCTTCTGGTGGCTCCTGTTTCCCTGGCAGTGATACAGGGAATGTCCTTCCAGCACATCTCCGGAGCCAGGTCTTAGTGTGTTTCTTGTGAATACCACGGATCAGGTAATCACAAGGGACAGAAGTGTGTAGCTCACAGCTCTGGAAGTGAGGATGTCTGATGTCATGGTGCTGGCGTCTGACGAGGACTTTCTTCCTTCATCGAAACATGGTGGAGGCTTCACAGGGTGAGACAGAGCAAGCCCAGCAGCTCCATCTCTCTTCCTGCAAAGCCACCTGCACCACCATGGAGGCCCCACCCTCATGACCTCATCCAACCCTAATAACTTCGCCAGTGCCCCCTGTAAACGTCACCAATGCATGATTTGGGGATTGAGTCTCCACCCTCTTCACACTGTCATGATGGCAGCCAAATTTCAGCACATAAATTTCTCAGTTCACATTCATACCCTAGGAGCATGTAACCACCGGGAGCATCCTGAATGCCCGGGTCGGAGCCACTGTAAATCCGCCTCCCTGTTGCGTTGGAGGTGCTCCTGGCCCCTCTTAGCTTCACTGACCCTGGTGCCCTCCACCTTTAGTCACTGCCCATCTAAAAGACACAAGTGATCACCCTGCTTTGTGTTTCTTTCGTCATAAATGGTATCGAACAGCTCCCTCCCCTAACTTGCCATTTGCAGCTTTGTGCTCTGGTTAGGAACCCAGGGAGGGAAGGAGCTCTTTGTATTTTCTCAGTTTGTTGCTTCATGTTTCATTTGATGTGTAGTGTATTGGTCAGCTTTCCTGTTGCTGGGCTAAAACACCTCATACTGCCACTTGAAGGAGAATAAGTTTATTTTGGCTCAGTTTTAGAGGTTTCGTTCCATGACTGGCTGGTATAAAGGCAGGACCATCTTGGCAGAACGGAATGTTAGAGAAAGCTGTGTAATTCACGGCAGCTGGGGAGCAGAGCAGGGAACAGTGCCAGGATGGAAGGGGCCAAAGCCACATATGAGCTTCAGGGTCAGGGCTCCGTGCCGTCCTCATACGCATCCAGACCTGTGCTTTACTGATCCTGTAGGTGTCTCCGAGCCAGTCAGGGTGATTTTATGTTATACATAGTAGTCTTTCTCCTGCTTTAAGATTATTTCTAAAAACCCACTATTTTTGGTATTCCTTTTGTTCCTTTTCTCTCTTTTTTACCCTTCTCCTCTGGCTCTTCTTCTTCTGATTTTGGTTTTTAAGTACATACATCATTTTAAGACTGAAAACATTGTCGAAAATACTACGTAGTGGCACAGACATTGTCCAGGTGTGTGTTTCTGAGTGAGGGGCAGAATTGGAATGTTGTGCTACGGTGTTGTTCTTCATTGTGACTTGATTATTGATCATAGCACCCCCACGCAGCTCCTCCCCTGCACTGAGGCTCTGCTGTGTTGGGCTAGTGATGGGGGAAGCAGCAAGGGACACAGCAGGACAGGTGTGATGACCCTTCTCCGGGCCCCTGACGGTCATTGCCCTTCAGCTCTGTCCAGGTGAGCCACATTCGGACAGTACGCATGGGGGGCACTTTCAGCACAGTTTGTGCACGTATTGGAAAGGATTCTGGTTCACAGTTGGTCCTGTTAACATGTCCCCTTTTTAACTGTTTCATACTCTGCTAGCATCAGACAGAGGGAGGAAACTGAGAGCTGGTTGCTGAAATGTCTGCCGGCACTGAGAATTAGGTGAGCGAAGAAATTTTGCCTGCCACAACAGCTGCCTTTAGCATGGTCTTCAACCTTCTGCCTGTCTCTCAGCAGCCATGTCTGGTCTGTTCTGTGCATGGTCCTCTCCAGGACCAGAGAGCCAAGGAGATAGATGCCATATCAGAAAGCTCAGCCATTCCCAGCCTGTGTGGGAGCTGTGGCTGCCGTGTTATTGATGGCCTTGCGTGAGTGAGCGAGGCCTCTTTGAGGTGGTATGGGGTGAGTCTCATTTGGGTGGGGAGCCCTGCATCCAAGTCAGCAAGGTGGGAAGGGGCTAGGGTCAGTGCCCCGGCCTGGGTCCCCCATGGTCCCTTGTGGGTTTTGAAGGAGGCCTAGGGGTCCAGGGAGAGGTGCCTCACTTCTCTGGTGCCTCACTAGCTCACAGGCCTGCTCTTGGTGGTCAGAAAGATCTAGAGAGGCTTCCAGGGCTGCTGGCCCTCATGCCTCTTCTGCCTCTTTAGTAAGCAGGATGGAGGGCAGTGCTTCATGTTGGTGTGAAGTTAGGAGCACTGGTGTTCAGGGCTGTGCCATGCACGGCAGCCCTGGGAAGACCTAGACGCTTCCCTTTGCAGACAAGGACACTGAGGTGCAGAGTGGTGAGGGGAGGTGCCTGTATACTTATAGGGTCATCTCCAACCCTTTGCCACCCCCTCTCCCTACTGTGACTGGTCCATTTGCCTCACAGGTGAGGCCTGTTAACTTGGGAGCAGGGGAATGTTCCTGTCGTCACAGCTCTGAGGACCTCCACAGCCAGTGGTGGCACAACCCTGTGCAGGTTCCCGGCCCTGTAGGAGTGCAGAGCGGGGTGGCTGACCCTAAGGGCATGTGCTGACCCATACCCCATCCCAAGATGGGCCAGCAACCCAGGAGGGATACAAACACTGTGTTCTCAGATCACACTTGCAGTTATTTGGTGGTTGTCACATTTCAGCTGGACTTGAGCATCCGTGGCAGCTTCTGGAAGCAACTGTATCTGTCCCAGGGTCCCCCGGGTGATTCTGTGTTTCTGGCTTGTCTACTTGCTGGGATGGAGCAGGAGATAAGTGGACTAGGGAGGCAGGGAGCCTCTGTGTCTGCTTGGTTGGGGCCAGTTACACCCAGCCCCATTGATCCGTCTCCTGGAGGAGGTGCAGCCACTCAGACCCCATACCATTTATGCCTGGCCCCAGAGGCTCAGAGTAAAGGTTTGTGCAGGCATGTGTGCATTACAAGGTGTTCCCAGATGTGACTTCTGCTTAACACGAAGGATATTCAAGTCGCTGCACCCAGTTGTACAGAAAGCCCCAGCCCTCCAGCTACCATCCGTGGGCATCTCAGCCTCCTGATCCCTCTGAGGACTTAGAGACCTCCTCTGGCTTTGGCTTTCACATCGTGAATACAGTGGGCCCCTCATGTGCAGTTTGCTCTGCCTGGCTTCAGTCACTATGATCAGTCAGAAGGCTGAGGACAGTACAATGAGATATTCAGAAAGAGAGAGAGAGAGCATCCATACATAGCTTACTAAAGTGTGTTGTTACAGTTGTTCTATTTTACTATTGTTAGTGTCTTACTATGCTGAATTAGTAAATTACAGGGAAAAGCTTAGTACACTAAGGTTCAGTACTGCCACCGAGTCTTGGAACATGTCCCTCTGGATAAGGGGGACCACTGTATTCTGCAGATAAAAGGCCATCTAAAAAGGAGATACTAAAGTTTTTCAGAGACCTTTTCTAGTATGAAGTGGTCCATACAGACAGCTTTTCGTTTGGTAGGACTTTAGTGTGGGAACAGAGCAGGTGTTGTCCTTCTTGTTGGCCCTGTAGGTCTGCTCTGTGATGCCATCCTGGAAATTCAGCTGAGAATTAAAGGGTGGCCTCTATAGGGAGCTGGTGTGTCCAGAAGGTCTCTCATGTTAGGTGGTTCTGGGAGGCCTGGCTGCCAGGAGTGGTTAGGGTGCTGTGTGCCCTGCAGGCTGCTGGGCAGGGCTGAGAGTGCAGAAGCATGGACTGCATGGGCTGCCAAGGTTTTTGAGGCCTCAGTAGAGGATAGTTCTCACCAGGACATCTGTCTGGGGAAGCCATGAGTGACAGGTTATGAGGCTGTGACTCGCTATGGCTGTGACTTTTTCTTAGATCCAAACTCTTCAATTTGAACGTCATCATGGGGAGAAGCTGCACGCAGAAGTACTCTGGGTTTTGTTGTCATTTTGGTTCTGCCTGGCTTTAGATTTTCTTTCTTTTTCTCCACCCGTCTACTTTCTCACAATCCCATAGTCCTCCCTGCGAGCTGCTCGGCTGCCCTGCAGTCCCAGGGTGCCCCCAGCCTCTGAGGCTGTAGTACCTGCAGGTACGTGGGGCTGACTCAGAGGAGGTCTGCTGTATTTTTAGCAAGTGTCTAAAATACTCACAAAGCTGAGAATAGGATGCTTGTGTATTTAACTAAATGACACTGAAGTGGAAGATGAGTAGTCTGCGTGTTTCAGTAGGCCCAGCGGGGTTCTCTTCTGTCCTGCCTGGTCCTCTGGCTAGAACCCCACAGGGCTATGAACTTCGAAAATGCCCTGTGCCCAGGGTCCTGTGGGTGCTGATCTGAAAAGCCTGGGTTCATTAACACACCCAAGAGACCCTGCTGCTCACATCAGCAGCTCAGGGTGGGCTGTCTTGCTTCTCTGCTATAGATACTACTACCCAATCCTGTGGCTGGATACCAGGCCTGGCATGGGCCCTCAGAGTGTGGCCTGTCAGAGCTGGGTTGAGACTTGAATGTCAAATCCCCAGCCCTCTTGAAGACTCAGCACCCAGAATGTGCTGTGCCTCCTTCAGGATCTGTGCTTCAGTCACATGTTGGAGCATCGTGCTTTGCATATACACTGGGTCAGATGAAATTGTTACTACAGCAAACTTTGTCCACTTGTGTTACTCTTGGGATGTGACTTCTAGCAACATCCATTTTCTCCTGGTGTGTTGGGTGTGCTGGTCTGGGGTGCAACAGGGTGCTAAGGTTTTTGCTCTCTCCCATCTAGGCTGGCTGTGAGAGGCCTCGAGGCTGGCAGCAGAGAGTTTTCTTGTTCTCATATTTCTGTAGAGCTTCTGGGCCTTTCTCCTTCAGGCTTTCCCTGTCTTACCTAGCTCACTGCAGTCCTGAAGTTCCTGTGTTCTTCAGGCCTCATTCCCTTTGCTTTCTGTAGTAAAGAAGCAGTGCATTTGTTTGCAGCTGATTTTTCATATCACAGCTGTGTCTTCAGCACATGGGTTGGCAGCTGGGCCTGCGTGACTCTATGCTGTATCCCATGCCAGGAGGACTGTCCTGGAACCCTCTTTCACCCTCCACCTCACGTGAACTTGCTTGGCAGCCTCTGGGGTCTGGATGGAGGGCTGTTGCCTGCACAGCTGTGGGCACCCAGCAAGAACCCTTAGAAAGGACCCCAGGCACTGCCACATCTGCCCAGGCTATTTATATCCTACAAAGGGCCCATTTTTCTTTGCAGAGTGGTCATGTGGCTATGTGGTCGTGAGTATGAGTGGAGCTGGTGAGACCAGCCTTTCACCGAGCAGCTTTCTGGACATGCCTGACACATTCTCACCCACATGCATACTGTACAGTTTCATGCCAGCAGCTTCCCAGAGCCCTTGGGGAGTGCAGTCCCTAGAGCAGCCTGTGCCAGGTCCACCTGTCCCTATCCATATCACCTGGAGGGAACTTTCTCTGTGGTGCATCTCATACGGGATAGGGCCTCAGCAGAAGGACAAGTACTACTGTCACCCCCCTGCTGCTGCCAGGTGTGTGAAAGGCATCACCAGCCAGGGTCTTGGATGGTGCATGCCTCAGGCCAAGTCAGAGAGGGCTGTTCATGTGTGCAAGAAGGGGCAGCCCTGAGAATATTGTGAGGAGCAGGCTTGGCCTCAGTGTCCTCTGAACAGAGAGCTCTGGGCATGTTGTTGGAAGAAACGGGGTAGCACATCCTCTTTGGCCCTATTGGGAAGACAGGGATCCAACCTTGGAGAAGGCCTGACTCCCAGACACTCACAGCCTCAGGGTTTTGTGGGATTGTTTTTGTCCCTTCTATAGACCAAATATTGACTCCCGAAGATACTTGACTCTAATCCCAAGAACCTTGCATGTGGCCTTGTATAAATAGCATTTTTGCAGATATGATTAAGTTAAGGATCTGGAGGTAAGGAGGTAGTTCTGGACTACTGCTGGGCCCTGCATGTATCCTTAAAGAAGGAGAGGGGAAGCAGACACTGGAGTGCTGGGCAGTGAGGGAAAGTGTACGTGCCAGCTTGCCTGGGTTGGGTTGCCCAGATAGGTGGTCAGGTAAGAGGTGTTCCCGGTGAGGTGAGCATTGGCACTGGTGAGCTGAGTAGATTGCCCTCCAGTGTGGGTGGGCCTTGTCTGGTCCACTGAGGTCCTGAGCAGGACAGAAAGAAGTCCCCATGCTGACTGCCTGCAGACAAACAGTTCAGCTGTCTTGGATCTCTTTCTCTCCCGCTTGCAGACAGCAGATCTTGGAACCTCAGCTTCTGTCATCGTGTGAACTGTGTCTCCATCGTGAATCTTCCCCCCACCCCTGTCTACATCCTGCTGAATCTGTTTCCCTGGAGAACCCTGGCTCAGCAAGAAGCACAAACCAAGGGATGCTGTCAGCCACCAGATGGAGAGAGGCTGGCAAGGGTGTCTCCCAGAGGGAGGGAGCACACTGCCTGACTCTGTGTTTGGTCCAGTGCTGCTGAGCTCAACTCCTGACATCCAGAAGTGCAAGAGGGTGACTTTCTGCTGTCTCCAAGCCAGCTGATTTGTAGTAATTGATGAGAGCTGCCACGGGAAAACAGTACAGTCAGTATAAACAGTGCTTCCCTCAATACTTGGGCCCCAGCCTCTGAGCTATCATTCTGTGACTTAATTTCAGGGTGGGGCACCACTAGGCCATGTGCATCTTTATTTTGAAAGATCTTGTCAGATGAGTTTCCAGAAAGATATAACAGCTGATCCCGGGTGGA